GACGTTATGTCCACCAAAAACTAAAAAATAAATTAAAAAATTCTCTCTCTTTAAAAAAAATAATGATATAATAATAATAATAAATATAATAATTATTATTAATATTAATAATAATAATAATAATAATAATTATTATTATTATTATTGGGATGTAGGTCATGGATAGAGCATCCCTGGGTTTGGTCTATTACTAAAAGCAGACAAACTAAAACCACTAGGCTTAGTTGGCCCTACAGCCTTGGGCTCTCCTTCCCCTCGTCCTGTTTCCCAGGGCCCTGCCTATGGCCTGCTCTTTTCATGCCACATATCTTCTGGGAGGCCCCACCTGCATCCATGGCTTCAACCCCCCTTTCTGCACAGGACTCTGAAATCTGGATTCCACCAGGACCTCTCTCCTGACCTCTGGATTCAAACATCTGGATCCATGCCCACTGGATGTCTCCTAGTAGGAATTAATTAAATAATTCACAGTCCACCAGCTCTCCAGCTGAACTCATCTCTCCTTTCCTCCCTAGACTCTGGCCCTTATCAGCCTTCTCACTCTGGCCCTTATCAGCCTTCTCTTGAGGAGGAGGCAGGACCAGTCACTTAGTTGTCCAAGCCAAGAACCTCAACATCGTCCACAACTCTTCCTTATATTCCAGTCCTACATATAACCAACCTCCAAATCCTGTGACGGTTCCTCCTTGCTGCTTCTCCCAGTGGCTCATCACTCCTGCCTCGGGCCTGGCTGCCATCACTTGGATTATGCAACAATATCCTCACTGTTCTTGCCACTTCCTGAGTGGCCCTGAAGCCATCCTGTAGACCGCGGACAGGCTGATCTTACCACAGCTGAAAACGGCCCCTTTAACAGCTCCGTGCAGGCTTCAGGTGAAGTCTGAATTCCTGAATTGACCTCGGACAATGAAACTTTGAATTGAAGCCCACCCACTTGGCTTCACATCCTGCCTCTCCCCAAGGGCAAACACTCTCCCACCTTCTGTTCCCTTTGCCTGGCTCATCTTTCCTTCTCTCTCTCTTTTTTTTTTTTTTTTGGTGTTACTGGGGATTGAACCCAGGGGTGCTTTACCACTGAGCCACATCTCCAGCCCTTTTCACATGTTATTTAGAGAAGGGTCTTGCTAAGTTGCTTGGGGCCTTGTTAAATTGCTGAGGCTGGCTTTGAACTAGCAGTCCTCCTACCCCAGCCTCCCAAACTGCTGGGATTATAGGCATGCACCACCACATCCGGCCTCCTCTTTATTTTTTATTTTTTGAGACAGGGTTTCACTAAGTTGTCCAGGCTGGCCTGGAACTTGACATCTCCTGCCTCAGCCCCAGTTGCTGAGGTTACAGATGAGCACCACTGTGTTGCCCGGCTCAACTTTCCCACTGTCTTAATATTTTTTGGTACCAGGGATTGAATTCAGGGCACTTGGTCACTTAGTCACATCTGCAGCCCTATTCTGTATTTTCTTTAGAGACAGGGTCTCACTGGTTTGCTTAGCGCCTCACTATTGCTGAGGCTGGCTTTGAATTTGCAATTTTCCTGCCTCAGCCACCTGAGCCGCTGGGATTACAGGCATGTGTCCCAGCACCCACTTTCATTTTTTAATTATGGAGAAATAGATAACATAAAATTACCATTCAGATAACCACAGATTACCATTCAAATCCCATTTTACTTTTTAAGCTCCTTACTATAGACATGTTGGGCTTTTGATGATTTGATTCATGATTGATTTATTTGTTTATTTTTGGTACTGTGGATAAGGGGCGCTTTACCACTGAGCTATATATCTCAAGCGTTTTTGTCTTTTATTTTAAGACAGGGTCTCAGTAAGTTGCTAAGGGTCTCACTAAGTTGCCCAGACTGGTCTTGAACCTAAGAACTTCCTGCCTCAGACTCCTAAGTAGCTGGGATTAAAAGTGTGTACCACAGCACCTGGCTTGACTTGTGATTTTTTTCACTTTATGATGGTGTGAAAATCATAAGCATTTAGTAGAAACTGTAACTTGTTTTTTTGTGGTGCTGGGGAATGGAACCCAGAGCCTGATACATGTTAGGCGTGTGCTCTACTACTGAACTACATCCCCGGCYCAGAAAATGTACTTTGAATTTTGATCTTTTTCCAGGCTAGCCATGTGAGTATGATATTCTCTTGTGACAGTGGGCAGTGGCAGTGGGCTGCAGCCCCCAGTCAGCCCTGTGATCACAGGGTTAGCATATAAAATAGGCTTTGTATTAGAGGACTTTGTCTGACTATAGGCTAATTATAAGTGAGTGGTCYAGCTAAGATAGTCAGCAGGTTAGGTATATTATGGTATTTTCAACTTACCATTGTGAATTGAAAATTACATAACCCCATCATAAGCTGAGGAGCATGTGTACTTGTCCTTCAAATTAAGCTGAAGTGCAACCTCTTCAGAGAAACTTTTTGAGTACTCAGCATGGGTTGGATGTCCTTCTTCTGGGCTACCAATATCAGAGCCCTTATCACATTACACTCTATGTCAGCTTATGTCGCTTCTTGCAGATTCCCTTTGATAGCATCTGTCTTATTCAACTTATTTAACTTTGTATTCCCAAGGCTGCTGTATACAGTTGTACAGGTTTTGCACTGCACTGGGATAATTAATCAACTGAAGAAGTCATTAGGGCGTGAAGATCATCAGTCCATTGTATACTTGGTACAATGAGACTCACAGCCATTAAGTGACTTGTTCAAGGACGTACAGAAAGTGAGTGGCAGAGGCTGGGCTTGAACTCACTTTCCCGTCCCTAGCTCAGTGCCCATYTTCTCATACTCTATTCTAGGGAGGCCTCTCAGAACTCAGTTTGGACCCTATGAGCTCCAAGCTGCAGTCCCCAAGGCTGCATCTTCCCAGCCTTGGGGACCCCGTCTCTTCCTGACTTACGCTCCTGGCTACAGCAAGTGGAAGGATGACAGCAGGCAGACGGGCATGAGGCCAGCTAGAAGACCAAGGTGGCCTGTGGCCTCTTTGCTGGTGCACCCCGCTGAGCTGTCTTCACTCCCCCACCCCCAGCTGTCTTCACTCCCGTTCACCYGCCTGGAGTGACATCAGTGGCCGTTGGCTTTCTCCTCCACCCTAGCTCTGAAGGCTGTTTTCATTTAGAGCCATTTCCCTCCTTGCCATCTCTGGGATCAGCTGGCTCCTTCAGACTCAGTCACGCCTCCTTCTGGTCCTAGCTGGAGGTGCCTTGCCAATGCAGGTCCTAAGGTGTGTGAAGTGCCACGAGTCTCCATCGCAGGTGGGGAGTGATCTAACCCTACAGATCTCCCTGAGGTCCGCCTCCTGGGAGAATGCTTTTGAGCGCCATGGGACCCCCAAGGCAAATTCATTTTATGATCATCTATGAGCCGGCCATATCTCCTGCTCACTTGTAAGCCCCTTGCCCAGCTTCCTGAGTTTACTTCTCTCAGCTCATTTCTGGGCTTTGCATAATTTTTTTTTTTTTTCAGTGCTGGGGGACTGAATCCAAGGTCTTGCACATGCTAGGCAAATGTTGTACCACTGGGGTACACCACCAGCTTCAAATAAATTATTATTATTATTATTTTTATCATTCTCTGTTTTCATCTTACTGTGACTCTGAAGAGBCATTTCCCTCACTTATTAGGCAGACTGCAGCTCCCAAGTTATGGGAGCTCTGTCCTTTGGCATGTATGATTAATGAAAATGATAACGTTATCCTTAAAGATGTCCTGAACATGTACTCTCATCCAGATGTTGTGCTTGCTGCTTTATCAAACTCAGCTCACTTTTGTCTTCACCACAGTCTCATGAGGGAAAGCCCCATTTTTCAGGTGAGGACACGGAGGCACAAGATCAAATGACTTGCCCAAAGTCAYCTCGCTGAGATTTGTACACAGGCAGTGACTCTGGAGCTTATGCTTACATGGGGACATGCAGCCTGGACGAAAACTCAGCTCTTCCGGGACTGGAGACCTGCTCTGCCTGCATGCTGGCCAGAGCTCACAGGCTGTTACTCTCAGGCTGGGTCTTCCCTGATCAGCTGCATCCTCCCACAGGACAGGACGCAGACCCAACAAGGCACAGAAAGCAAAGCCAGTCAGTGAGGCCCGGTGAGATGGCAGATGACTCCCTCCTCCACAGCCCCATCTAACCTCTCCAGGCTATCACAAGAGGCTCCTTCATCGATCTGGCATAATTAGCTCTTTTACTAAGTCATCACAATTTTTAGCGTACAGCGACAGACCCATTGATGGATGATTTTATTCCACAGCTTTCYTAGGTATGAAGTGTAATTAACTATCATTAATTAAAGGAACACTGTTTCTCTTTAAAGATGTAAATTAGGCAGACTCCAGGCTGCCCCTTCTTTGCCATGGTGAGGCCTGGAGGCTGAGGCTGGCGGGGGCTGTAATAAGCCAGGCCTGGGCGCTCTCCACATGGCTCTGAGACTCCTCTCCTCCTCCTTTTCAGTTTGGTTTCCTATCTGTCCATTTCACAGGGAAGCAGAACTTTTTGGTAAAGACCGTGATGAATAACTGAATGGAAAGCCTCTTCTGATTTTTCTCAGTTACCTGTAACTGGTGCTCTCCCTCCCCATTGAAGGGTTGGCCTGAAGCCTRCCTCTGGGGCTGGGGCAGGACCGGGGCCTCTCCCCATGATGGGCAGACTGCCTGTGCTTTTGATTTGCTCATACCAGTGCTTCTCTTCACTGGGGTGGAAAATTGAGAGGTAACCATATAACTGAGGAATATTTCCCTGTTACCCTTTGCTTTAGACACAACTTGGCTAAGCTTTCAAGAGAAGAAAAATTTCCCCGTGGGGCACGGGCACTTTTAAAGGTTCCCCATTCCCTTTGGAATTTAGGTTTCTCATGCCATTATTCTGGGTTCCCTCCTCAGTCCCCCAGATTCCTTAGACATGAGGCAGGAACAAAGCCAGAGAGTAAACACTGTTTCCCATGGTGACAGGGACAGGCAGTGAGGGCAGACAGCTGCTGGCTGCCAGTACCCGACACTCACCATGGTTTATCCCTTGATCCTTTTGCAGAAAAGACTGTGTGCTGTCTGCTGCTGGAGGTAAGTAGATTGTCTTTGGGCGTTTTGAATGGCTTTGAGGTGCTGCTGGCAGAGTTATGGCCGCTGAGACAGGCTTTCGTTTTCACCTGTGCTAGTGATGTCCTGGGGTTGGAGGCTGGAGACGCTGGAGAGGAAGAAGGTCTACACATTGAACCGTGTCTTCTCTCTAYAGGGGGAGAAAGGACAGAACTCAGCACAGCATCTCCCATGCTGGTCTCCCGTGCTCGCACACACTCCTGGACACAAGGGGCACAAAGTGGAGCTTTCCTGGTGGGATCCGCAGCCCCTAAGCTTAGTTCTGACGACAGCTCACCCTGACGTTGGCTCCTACCCCACCCACTATCAAGGAGTRCATTCTGGAATTCTGTATTCAATGGCATGTGCTAAGCAGACCCTGAGGTTCTCTTGGGAGCCATTACCATCCTCCTGTCAAACACTTCCATAGGAGWAGCAGTGTGATGGCTGTATTACCTGACACAGGGGGACAATCAATAGCCTATGTGATCCCCAGACAGCCTTCTTAGAGGTCACAGGTCGCCCAGGGCAGTAGGTAGGGAAAGACTTTCAGAAAAAATGGGAGATTCTCCAACTGACCTTCTGTAGGACATGAAAGTCACAGAGCCCTGCAGGACTGAATGAAAGGTCTTTGAGAGCCAGAAAGCGGCCCAGCATCTGTCCCTTCCTGGGACACATGGACAGTCTGTTGACATACCCTAGTGGTGGCCTCTTCAGGGTCAACTGAAGTTCAAGGACACTGGAGGATGTTAACACTTGAGGCAGAATCTACAGATGTGGGGTGGACTGCTGCCTGAGGTTCTGTAGGAAATAGGAGAGCTCTGGGCAGAGATGCCCCGGMGATGCCCCAGAGATGCTCTGCCAGCCCTGCCAACCCAACTCAGTAGGCAGGATGAAGACACTGACCTGGACAGCAGGTGTATGAAATCAAGTTCTAGTGTGCACCCACTATGGTGGTCCTTAGCTGTTTTAGGGTTACAGATTTGAGAAAGTTAAGGACCTCAGAAAAATGCACACTTACACATAAGAATCCCAAACTCCCAAACGACAATGGTCCTGAAACTCTAAGTCCTCTCTGACTCTCTTGTGCCCCATATAAAATTAGTGCTCCATGAATATGTGGGGGTTTTGTTTGTTTGTTTTGGGTACTGGGGATTGAACCCAGGGGTACTTTACCACTAGCTATACCCCCATCCCTTTTCATTTTTTTTTATTTTGAGATGAGTCTTGCTAAGTTGCTCAGGGCCTCACTGAGTTACTGAGGCTGGCCTCTAATTTGGGATCCTTCTGCCTCAGCCTCCAGTCACTGAGATTACAGGAGTGTGTACACCAGTATGCCTGGCTCAATGAGTAGGTGTTGATTGAAGAAATGAAATTATAATGGATGTCCTGATGGGAAGAACCAGATTTGACAAATCTGTAAATCTGGATTGAATGTGATAAGGAGAAAGGTGAGAAGCAAAGATTGAGGATCACATTCTCCCTCCAGCCCAGAGCTCCTCAGGCTTTTCACCTTGGCAAGATATTTCTAGTTGCTCTTTCCAGACACCTAACCTGGGGGACAAAACCTAACCACTGTGGTCTGTGGGAGGGGAGGGGGGTTGGAGTTTCTGTGTGCTCTTTCTTACCAATTGGCTGCCAGGCTTTCTCAAAGCACAGATTGATTCTAATCTTCTGATGAAATTGTAATTGGGAGGCGTGGGGGTAGCTTTTCGAAGATCATCTAATGGTTTGATATTTGTGCCTGGTCAGTGTTCACAMAGAATAACTTTATGGGGTAAATCTTTCTCTACTGATATTAGTAGACCTTGCATACATGTTTAATTCCCAGAAGTCATCCCTGTGGAGATGAAGGCTCCAGCTCCAGTCACCCACAGGGTAGCCTTATGGCCTTGAGTTCACCATGCAACTTTTCTTGGTTTCTTTCTTGGTTTCCATAGCTCAATTATAAACAAAGTGGGTCCCTCAGTGGCTTCTAAGGTCTCTCTCCATTCCATTACCATAAATATAAGACATGCTTATACCTGCTCCTTCTCTGCTCATCCTTATAACTCCTGCATGTTGTAGCAACAACACAGGTATGTGCTGTGTAGTGAACAGCACAGGTATGAAGATATTTTACTTGGGCAGTATCTTTCTTGGGAGAATTCATCCTCTGTAAAATTAGAGGCCTTTACAACCCCTTGTAAGACAGGCAGGAAGCAGCCCCCTGTATCTCCACCCTCCTCACAGTTTATTGTCCAAAGGAGGCCAGAGAGGCCAGATGATTGCCAAGGTCAGGGCCAATGGCTACTTGAGGAATGGGACCTTGGGCATAGGCCCAGCTGCCTCTCAGGAAGTCAGGAAATGTTGGTGTACTATGAACAATATTTGAAGCCAGGAAATTAGGAAATGAGGAACTTACAATCACTAAAGGTTAGAACTGGGTCTTAAAAGTCCACTAGTCTAATCTCCTTCCCCATAGAGGAGACTGTTATTAGTTGCCAGCCCCTAGGGCAAAGCTGGCTGGTGGCAATGCTGGGATTAGAATCAGATCTCCTTACTTTTAAATTCTTAAGTACTTTTTGCCCTTCAGAAATTTCATGTTAAGCTTTTTTTTTTTTTTTTTTAATGGTAGAGGTTTCGATTCCAAAATAAAACTTTGATTTTTACCCTACTGCTGAACATGATTCTATAGTCTTCATTCACTGACTTGCTAGCACTTGCTCAAAGTGGGGGGTAGGGGTATACAAAAATATTACTCAGTAGCCTGAATAACAAAGATAAACTTGAGTTTGCTAAACTAAGGGTTAAAAAGTACACAAGTAAAGCTGGGTGCAGTGGCACACACCTGTATCCCAGCACTTGGGAGGCTGAGGTTGGAAGATCATTTGAGCTTAGGAGTTTGAGACCTTCTTGGARAACACAGTGAGACCCTGTTTGGAAAAAAAAATGCACGTATGCACAAACATAAACAAACTAAACTACAGAAAGAGTCCCATTAAGGACAAAATGAGTGGTCTAAAACCACTTTCCCAGAGAATTCTGGTTTGTGGTCCTGGTTGACATCTTCCGCTGCTAAAYTCATAGAAAAAAATTAAATCAATGACGAACCTTCATTTTTGGTTTCATATTTTAACCTCATAAAACATTAAATTTCCAATGGAAAGAACAAGTTGCATATGAGAGAATAATCACTGAAGCCTGAAGACAGTCCTTTGCCCTTAATGTAAGTTTTTTGATTGCGTAATATGCCATTTCGTATTGCAGTACATAGTATTGTATTTCCTACTTGTGAAACTGCTCCTTGTTTAGAATGAATTAAATCTATCTATTTTAAGAAATCCCACAAAGAGGTCGGTATTTCTGTCCCCAGAATGGCGGGAACAAGCTTGCCTCCTACTGGTGCAGGTGAGAAAAGCTATGTAAGGATTGAAAACGGTGGAACCCACAGGGTCAGAATGTTGGGACTTCATCCAGGCGATGAGCTGCAACTCAGCTTTTTAAAAAATCCAGTACTGTGAACCCAGGGCCTCCTGCATTCCACACAAGAACTCTACCACTTCGCTACATCCCCAGCCCGTTTAAAAAATCTTATTTTGAGACAAGGTCTCTCCAAGTGTCGGAGGCTGGTCTCAAACTTGCAATCCTCCCATCTTGGCCTCCTGAGTTGTTGGGATTATAAGTGTGCACCACCACATTTCATTCCAGACCATGAGATAGAAAAACCAGTGCAGCTCAGCTTTTGAAAATGGGTAGAACTGAATGGAGTGCGGTGGCACATGCCTGTAATCCCAGTAGCTCAGGAGGCTGAGGCACGAGCATCATGAGTTCAAAGCCAGCCTCAGCAAAAGCAAGGAGCTAAGCAGCTCTGTGAAGACCTGCCTGTAAATGACTTAAGCACAGTTTTGTTTTTGGTAGAGAGGTGGATGGGCAACCAATGGGAGAAAGTGGGGTCTTTATTTCTTGTAAAAGGATATTGCTATGCAGGTGGAATTTCTCTGGGTAAAGATTTCCAGGTTTATATTACAATCATTCTGATACAGGTCCTCACCATGTTGGGCCTTAATCATTTCTTTCTGTTTTGGTCAAGAGAATGCCTTAGGGAGAACCCTATGATTTTTCTAATTCCTCTTGCTCTGCCCAGGAAGCATTTATAGGACATTATTTTCCTCACTTACTGTAAAACTATTGTATAGACTTAAGTAATTTTAGAGAAAGAAAGCACTTCCCTCTAAAATTTCTCAATCTTTGTTAATGTCCATGGTTGTACTAACAAAACTGTAATCAATTGATATTTTGGACTATTCTTTGTCAACTAAAATTATTCTATTTACCCATCTAATTCCCACATGCCTGCCATTTTAAACAGGTAATAGTCATTAACATGCTGTAGATTATTGAGCTACTCTCTTACTGTCTGTCACTTAAACACTAATTTATTTATAAAGTGATTTAGGATTATTTCCTTGAGGTAAGGTATAGCTCCCAATGTGAGAGCTGGAAATAGCTCATAGCTCTTGCTACACATTTCATTCCAGACCATGAGATAGAAAAACCAAAACCAAGAAATTGTGTTATATTGAATATAAGCACCACTCACCTACTGAAGAGAAAACAAAATCACTTTTGGAACACCTGTGCAGTCTTAAGTGTCCAATATATCAATTAACAACCTTGGTGAATGATCTTGGACCGGCAAGCTCTAGTCCCACCCCTTCTTTCCGTTCGCTAATAGTAATAATAATTTACTGAAAGTGTTTTCCATGTGCTAGGCACTCTATCCCACACTTGATTCACTTGCTAGCATTTAAGCCTTACAACTCCTTAAAAGAGGTTCTTTGACTATGTCTACTAAGGCTCAGAGATACAATGAGTTGCCCAGAGATACAATGAGTTGCACAGAGCTGGAAAACATCAGATCTAGGGATGTCTTCAGAGCCTGTGTCTTAGCTCTGAGCTCTGTTACTTTGAAATTTTGGAAGATGGTGCTGTAGACAGGGAGGGCCTGGAAGGGCCAGCAGGGGACCCCTCCCTCCCCACTGCCTGAGGGCATTCCAGCAGGGCACCACTCTAGCAGGGAGAGGGAAGAAATACCTTTCAGATATTTAAGAAGTTTCTAGGTGCCAGTCTGCAGCCTCATGCCACTATCTGAGACCTGAATCCCAGAGC